TTTCTTGCTTACTATGCAAAATAGCTATATGTCACTCCATCTATTGCCCACTTCAGGTCACAGGTATCTTCCAAAGCTTCTTGTTTCCTGAGTTAGCTATGTGGTTTTGGGTTTTCTTGTAAGTGATCTATTCATCATCCTAGCCAACATCCTGGCTAAGTGGTTTCTGACAGATGAACCTGCTCCTGTAGCCCCCTCCCTCACCCTCCCACTCCTCTCCCGCAGCCCCCCTTGCAATGCTATCAAGTATGTCAACTGTTAGCAAGCTTGTACTGCAAATTCCCTATGAGCAGAAAGAAAAAGTTGTTTAATTGTCTAAGAGTAAATATTTCTCTCACAATTCATCTTCCTCACTTTCATGTCCATCACACCCACACCTGGGTCCTATCTCCACATAGGACCCTTCTTATGATCCCCAGGGCCTCATCTGCATGTATAATTTTTTCATCTGACCCTTCTTTTAAACACATTGAAATAAACAGATATTCTTCCCCAGCTCAATCTTGCCTCTTCATTTTTTTAAAGAAAAGTGCCTCCGAGAAAACATGTACTACATATACAAATATATTATCTACACACACGTGTATATATTATTTACAGATATTGTTGTTGTTATATCACTGTTTATCTTTGTTACATCTCTCAAAGCGTTGCCTAATAGCTTGCAATATACTTCCTGGGATTTTCTGATGTTTGTCCCGTAAAGCCTCCATTGCCCTTTGAGTCTGTTGGAAAGGTGGAGTGGCATGGCATGGGATGGTGATGGGGAAAAAAAGATGATATAATTAAATTTATGTTTCAGGTATTATAGGGAGAACATTTCAGAACTAAAGGATATTGACTCTTCTATAGAACAGACACATATGTAAACATATATGTAAAATTCCAAAGAGTTATGGCAAAGATTTTTTTTTCTATTCCTACTGATGCCATACTGTACATAATCAGATAAAGCACAATTTTCCGTTGGGTTAAACCATATAGTACATTAAAATAGATGGTGTAGAACTACCTCTATGCCTACATTCAGTAGTATAATTAAAAAAACAGAATAGAAGTTGGATAACTTTTATTTAATTTGCTCCTAACTGTGGCTTGTTGAATAAACCACTATTGTCTGGATTCAGCTTTTTCTTGAAAAACATGAACCTCAGTTTAAATGCTACAATATCTGATTGCTCAGAACGTGCAAATCCCAAAGTAAATGAACTTGAGTATGGCTTTGTAGGTTGTGTGACCCTAGGCTTTGGCAGCTGACTTTCCCTCTTGCATATCGTGTCCAACCCATTTTACCTCTAAGGAGAAAATGCTCCATTCTATTGGTCAGAAAAATAAAGAGTCACGAAATATAGGTACTCTAAGTGGTATAAAAAAAGCTATAAATGTGACTGAGTTGAATCACTTTGTCATTCAACAATTTGGGGCCTCGTATCATTAATGCAGTGATATTTACCAGCATTATAGACAGAACAGGAGATATCTGGAAATTTTGACTGGTGCTTGGATTTGTGAAGGACTGGAAGGAATTAAGAGTTGAACCCCAGGAAGACAAATTTACTATTATATTGAAACCATCTGATTACATTAAAATTTCTATCTACTGATCTTGACATGGTTGCGGTCACTCAGAAAAAGTTGGTATGCAATTTGGGGTATTCCTGGATTCAAACAGGAGATTGAAGCTGTGCCCTAAACAGTCTACAAAAACTGTACCGATTCCTGGACTAGGTTTTCAGACAGTAACTCCTGCCTTTGTCATGTCTCTCTCAAAATGTTTTCATTTATTCTATGTGAAGCTGCCATTAAAGAAAACCAAGAAGTTGCAGTTGTTTGCAACTAAAGTTCTTAGGGCTTTAGTATGATAGTTATTGCATAGATGTTTTCATTTAAGCTTACAGTTAGCCACGTTGAGTAATTTAAATAAGTGATATTTAAACACTGATGGATGAATGGAAGGATGGAGGAATAGATGGATGACCGATAGTTTTACACTGACAGTTATGTACCAAACACTCAACTATACTTATGCATATCTAGGTAATATATTTCAATAACTGTTTACAATCTGTTACTATACAGTTGTAATTTCATGAACAAAGTGTTAATTTGAATGCATATTTTCCCCCTACAATAGAATACACTTACTTTTTCAGCTAATTTTTCAGGAGTTATATCTGGATCATATGGAATTGGTTTTCCAATATGGCTTATAAGTTTAACTGGAAACATCCCATATATTGGAAAGGGGAACCATCGGGTTCGCTCATATAACCATCTCATTGGCCCTGGGTACAAGATTTAGAAAATTTTAGAAATGCACATTAGCAGCCTGCAAAGAGTTATGTATTAGTCTTTCTAGAAGCCTATATTTAAATACTAGCAATTTTTAATATCAGTATTGGAACTTACTAAAGTAAAGGTTTTCTGCTTGAAAGGCAATTTGTTTTAGCTCCCCTGTTTTAGCTCTACAATTTGCAAAGTTCAACTTAAATTTTAAGAGTTAGAAAATTAGGATTAGGAAAAGCATACACATAGATCTCACAAGATTTGAACACTGGGCACTATCTAACAAAATGAAATTCAATGGTGAAAAAAAGCAAGGTTCTACATTTAGGCAAGAAAAACCAAATGCACAAGTACAGCATAGGTGGCACCTTGCTCAATAGTAGTAACTGTGAGAGGGACCTCGGAGTCCTAGTGGACAATCACTTAAATATGAGCCAGCAGTGTGCTGCAGCTGCCAAAAAGGCCAACACAGTGCTAGGCTGCATTAACAGAGGGATAGAATCNGGAAACTAATCAAGGAGAGAAGCAATCTAGAACTAAGGAGAAACTTCCTGACAGTGAGAACAATTAACCAGTGGAACAACCTGCCTCCAGAAGCGGTGAATGCTCCAACACTGGAAGTTTTTAAGAAGAGACTGGACAGCCATTTGTCCGAAATGGTATAGGGTTTCCTGCCTGAGCAGGGGGTTGGATTAGATGACCTCCAAAGTCCCTTCCAACCTTATTATTATTATTATTATTATTATTATTATTATTATTATTATTATTATTATTATTATTATTATTATTATTATTATTATTTCATATTCCTATATCTATATATTAATTCATATATTGACGAAGTAGGTGGATCATACAGCCTTCCTTATTCTGGGAGGAAATGCATATGTACTGTTTTTAATCGACTTTCATAACACAATAAAATGAAAGTACTCTCAAATTGATCTATCCCAATTATAATTTTAAAATATAGGTATGGCTATTGCCAATTGATCTACAGTATCATTGAAATTAAACATGATAGGCAAAGATGCAGATACATAGATTTATAGCCTTAAAAGTAATAACATTTCTGAGAATACATGAAGTTTTACTTACTTATATTTCCATATGTTACATATCCTTCTCTAATATTTTGTGTAAACACAGGGATGATTGGCTAGAAGAAATAAAAGAATCAAATAATGAGACTCTTTCAGTCACAGTACATGAAAGGAATAAAATGTATTGTTCGGATATAAACTAGATATATTAAAAGATCACTCTGAGAAACTAATATTGACAATATATGTTGCTAAGGCCATTGCATCTTTTGACCTCCTATCAGATATTTTCTTCTGAGATTTTAAACACTGCAACAGCTGCACTATCTTACTATCTTAGTTTGAGCTCAGCTTCTGACATGAGCTGTCCTTCATCTTTCTTTAGTGCTGAATTTTCATGCATCTAATCTCAGTAAGCATCCTTGGGCAAATGCTGGGTTTTGCTGTTCAATGTAGGAGAGGGATCATCGTGGATGAACTTTCCAACTGCCACTTCCTCTTTCATAGTTCATTCTAGGAAAGTGACATAAAAATATGAACCATCTTTTATTTAAGATTTTGGTGGGGAATAGGTTATTCCCTCATGGAGGAGAAGTAAATCATGCATCTATCTATTGCATATTTCATCTACAAATCTATACCAGATGGCAAATTGAGGCTGCAAAGATTCTCCAGAAACAGGAGACATCATGAGATGCCAACTTGCACTCCTGATAGCTGCTTCTCATGAATAGACTGCAAAGACTGAAGTTTTTGTGGTTGGCTTATGAGCTGAGCAGCTGGGCTTTGAGAGAATGCAGTCAGGATTACTACCGTAATTTTTCATATATGGATACAAAGTTCACACAAGCCTCATTTCTTAACCAATTCCAGATATAATTTATTTAGCTAAAAAAAGATTTTCCAAGCACAGAAGATAAATTCCACTTGATGAAATATTACACATTTTTTCTGGATTGCAGGGGCATTATGGTTTGAAAGAGAGATGGATCTAAGTTCTGGACTACCAAAACTCTGTGAATAAAGAAGATCTAGAGTTTGCCCATATATTCTCCAGACAGGAGGATATAGTGGAAGTCAGAGTTTCCATCATTTTTCCAATCATAAATACAGCTTTTAATGCATTTGGACCAAACCTCATTTTTTTAAATCACTAGGGATTTTTACTTTTTCATTGTTTCATTAAGACTGAAAAACCTTCAGAACTGTAGGTTTACCATTTTCCAAGTGAGTTAAACTTCAATCCATTTAAAAAGGAATAAAACTATTAGTTCCAACTTTGTAATATATTTACGCTTTTGCAATACAGTATACCACAAAGGCATGATTTTAGAGTTGCTTTTGGAAAAATGTTTAAATGTAAGGCTTTGTGAAATTGATTTAAAGACAGACTTTGAAATTAGTTAGAAATAAATTCTAGTGTGTGAAAAATCTGTTGTTTACATTTCAAACTGAAAACCCGACTTTGAAGATGAATTATTAGAGTACAGATGGATACTGTGGCATGCGTGCCACAGGCAGCACGCGGAGCTGTCTCTGGTGGCAAGCGAGCCATTGCTGGGCTGAGCTGCTCCCTCCTCCTCTCCGCATGCGCAGTCTGGGAATAGGCAAGAGGCTATAAAAGAAGCAACTTTCTGCGGAAGCAGCATTTGCTGCAGACAACTTGAGAGTGAGCACGAGTCGGAGCGGACAGTGAGCGAGGGAGCATGAGCCGACAGCTCAGTGGCCACGCCCACTCAGTGGCCACACCCACCCAGCACCCGGCGATGCATAAGTGGGTTTTGGGTTGCAGTTTATGCACTCGGTCTCTAAAAGGTTCGCCACCACTGCTTTAAATGAAATGTAAGATTTGTGGTTTCATAAAGTGCTTGAGATTTTCAACTTTTTACTGAAATCAAAACTTGTTACTATGTAAGAACAAACAAACTCCTTTGAACATAACCGAAATGGAACTTAAGATGGACTTAAAAATTCCAGCCTATAACACATGGAAATACTGGATTTGGAAATGGAATTGGATGATCATTTAAAAATGAAAAAGGATGCCTTTCTTTTCCTATTTTCCTCGCAACAACAACCCTGTGATGAGTTGGGCTGGATCAGGAATAGCCAAAGCCACATATTTTTCTGATGAATAAGAAGTTGAAGTCCACAAATCATAAAAGGGCCAAGTTCAAAGACGCCTGGTGTAGATTAATTAGAGATATAGCTAATATGTGAATTACAAAAAGAAAAAGAACAGAAAATAATATTGCAATTAGAAGAGGGAGACACCATATGAATGGTGTTTCTTTCACCAAAGAAAACAAATTCCATAAATATTATATGAACGTGACAGCGTTCTAGAGATAATAGAAGAATGAGTAAAGAAACCACATTTATGGAGCATTACAGAGGACAGATTTGCCATTTCCTGGCCTGTCAAATCTGATTGATGGTTGCATCTGCCTTCCTGTACATTTGCAGATAGGCCACAGGTCGGCAACCTGTGGCTCCGGAGCCGCATGCGGCTCTTTGAGCCTTCCCCTGTGGCTCCCAGCCTCCTCTGCCATTTGCAGAGAGAGACAGAGACAGAAAGAGGCACTTGCGCTTCCCTGCTTCCCTCTCTCTCTCTCTCTGTCTGTCTCTCTCTCTCTCTCTCTCTCTCTCTCTCTCTCTCTCTCTCTCTCTCTGTGTGTGTGTGTGTTTGTATGTAAAAGAGAATGGACTCACGGTGTTCTCCGACAAGCTGAAAAGCTTTTTGGGCGGGGCTCCTCCCTTTGCTGAATCTGTGGAGGAAGCAGGAAGCAGGAAGGGCAGGAGAGAGCTAGCTAGCCCAGCTATGTTGACTCAGTAATTCTGGGAGTTGAAGTCCATGAGTCATAAAAGAGCCAAGGTTTCCTACCCCTGAGCATGTTGGAGAACAGCTTGAAGCCAGCTTTCCAGGTGAGCAGAAGATTGGAGTGAGGGAGAGAGAGGGGGGAGAGAAAGAGAGAGAGAGAAAGAGAGAGAGAGAGAGGGAAGGAGAGAGAGAGAGAGAGGAAAGAGAGAGAGAAAGAGAGTGGGGGAAGAGGACTGGCAGATCAAGGGCAGAAAGAGAGAGAGGGAGGGAGAGAGAGAGAGAGAGACCCTTTTGACATCTAAAATGAAGATAACACTGCACATATATATATTTTTATATATATATAAATATAATGTAAAAAAAGGATACTGTATATGCAGTGTTATCTTCATTTTAGATATCAAAAGGGTTTTGCGGCTCCCAGTGTTTTGTTTTCGGTGGGAAACAGGTCCAAGTGGTTCTTTGAGTGCTTTGGGTTGCCTACCCCTGAGATAGGCAAAAAAATAAATAAATGGTATGAAATTGAAACATAGCATTTAGAAATACATATTGGAATTAACAGCAACATTAGGAAAAGGATTTAATGACAAATGGCTCACCACTTTTGCATCTATAGCTATATGAGCAAATCCTTTCCTGTTTCCCCATATTATCTTGTAGTAGTTATTTCCATAGTTCTCCTCTTGCAGTCCTCCTGGTGCAACTGCCAGCTGGTGTCCTTGTTTCAGAATGTTTACGCTCTTTTCTCTTGTAGGATGAACAGGGTAATGGAGTGAGCGGACCAGATTTATTCCTGCAAAAGCAGACCTATGAAATCATTCTGTTCTTGCTTGTAAAAGAAAACCAAATAGACATATTTCCATAATGATAATTCATCTACGTCTTTGAAGAAGAAAAATTGGACTTCCCAAGTCAGTGAATCAATATCTTTTGAAAATAATTAGAACTAAACTTACAATATTTTTATAGTATTAATTTTACCTGGTAGACAAAAAAGAGTATGATGTAGCACAGAATAGAAGGGTTTCCCGGTAAATCTAAAAATCCTATGGATAAAAAAATAATGGTCTATTGGTATGGATCCATGGTAATAAACAAGGATCGCTGGTTCTTTAGGTAGATTTTCTAGTCCAGAAATCTCATAACCTGTTAATGGTAGAACAATGAAATGGCTTCAATATTGTTTCACAAAGGTCTCCTTTAGAAAAAAATAAGTTCATATAGAAAAATAACTGTTTTCTCAGCTTTCTTAGCTTACTTGTGAAGCTTAATGTTTAAATCATATGTCATTCCTCAAACAACATGCTGTCACATCAATCAATCAATCAATCAATCAATCAATAAGAATCTTCTGAGATTTGAGTGTTATTACCTTTCTGATCCTGCATATTCTTTCTAATTTGATATTAAGTCACTTAGATTCATATCAATTAAAGTGACATAAGAGCTTATATTTTTTTCAAATATCTCAACAGTATCATAGGATATTTGGGGCATTTTAAAACATTTGTAAAAGACAACCGCTTACTTTTTCCAAAACTATTAACAGACATGTAAAACGTATAATGCCTATATTGTGGCATGCCAAAATCATGGAAATGATGGCTTAGTATAAAATGTAAAGCCACCAGCTTTGAACAGTTACTAAACAGACTGAAACGTTAGGACTTTACAGGTAATCCTTCACTTTGAATCAGAATTGGGCCCAATTTCAGTTGTTGAGTGAAGCAGTTGTTAAGCAAACACCATGTCGCCCCTTTGCTCCATGATAACAATCCTAACTCTCCCAGTCGTGGTCATTAAGTGACTACAGAGGTTGTTAACTGGAGTGCTGGGAGTAGAGCCTGGGCTTCCTGGGTAGATGGGGTGGGATAGGGCAGAGGCTTCCCATTACACCCAGAGGTCCTGGTCATGGTCCTCATCCCACAGGGGAGAACAGTGGTGCATACTATGGTTTCCCAAGATTTGAGGTCCATTCCTACAGCATGCTGAAGGATTTCCTGTCTTGGGAACATTCATTAAGCAATATTTGCCTTTTGATGTTTTGTAACATTAGACATGAAAAATATTCATTTTTCTTTTTCTTTAGGAATATAATGATTCCCAAGTTCCCAACATGTACATGCCTAGATATTTCTGGTAATCTATGGTTATATATAAAACGTTTGTCTTTTTGACTTTTAAAAATATTCCTGCAACCACTCTGCTGAGTTATGGATTAAGACAACTCCTTCATACAGTTTTCAAGCCACATAAATAAGGGAGTTTCTTCACTAGTTGCTGAAGTATTTTTACAAAAATGAAATATACATAAATTGACACTTTACATCCTCAGTGTTCCATTCACATTCTCCAAGATGCACATGACTGCTGGTCATGGTTGGCCAGAAGAATGATGCTAAAGAAGGAATAAAGTCATACTTACTATGCAGTATCTTTCCATGCCACTCAACTGCCAGTGCCAAAAATTGCTTTGGCTTGTCCCATTCTTGGCTATTGATATCTTCTGGCAGATTGCCAATTTTTTTCCATACAATAAGTATTGCATTGTAGACATATAATAGAAACAATAAAAACACAAGGGGATAATATACTATTATCAGAATGCCTATCAAAGTTAAGGGATATAACATAAAGCCTGCATATTCTTTCAAAGTGCAAGTTGACCAGATGACAAATTCATTTCCTAAGGTATAATATATATTTTCCACAGTCATGTTTGAAATCGGACTATATAAGGAGAATCCATTCACAAATAAAATATTTCTTCCTGGAAAAGAAAAATAAACATATAAATATACTTTATTATGAGCTCTGGGAGGACAGCAGAATATCAGGATGGCAATGCATACATGGTAATGAGACTTTCAAATAGCCTTAGGGAGAAGATTGGGCTGAGATGGTTAAAAAAAGTCAAGCTTAGTACAATCAATCAGATTATTGATCTTTTAATCATACATTACTGGTATGGAAAGGCTTTCTTTTTAACCAACCAAGAAAGAAAAGGTTTAAAAATGACCAGCCAAAGATGTCTGCTTAGAAGGAAGTCCTGGAGTTTAGAAACAACTTGTTGCTTATTGTGCATATAGGACAATTCTGGACATCCTGTTTAAAATTAGGCAAACCTTTTCTTCTTGGTGATGACCATTCTTTTCCTTAAACTTCACGGCCCTTTATTTTTATTAAAAAGAAATAAATTTTAGATTCTTTGCAATAAACCCACTTTTCTTTTCCCTCTGCTAGAACCTGGCCAACATTGAATGGTATCTCCAAACCTATAGCTGTTTCATCTGCAGGCTGATTGTGATGAAGAGAGCAAGGGTGCTAGTTCTATTTAAAAAGATCAATCTGCTAAAATGTTGACAAATTAACTTCAAGACCATCATCACCATGAATTTCAAAATACTCCTCTGGTAATTCTTTCATAGAGAAAATATCAGGGATGAGTAAAGCATACCACATCAGTCTCCAAAAAGTGTCCATTGTGCTACTCAGCTTACTACTACTACTACTACTACTACTACTACTACTACTACTAATAATAATAATAATAATAATAATAATAATAATAATAATAATAATAATAATAATAATAATAATAATAATAATGTTGGAAGGGACTTTGGAGGTCATCTAATCCAACCCCCTGCTCAGGCAGGAAACCCTATACCATTTCGGACAAATGGAGAATAGCTTGACTCCCTCTTCTTTGTGGCAGCTCCTGAGATATTGGAACACTGCTATCATGTCCCCCCTCGTCCTTCTCTTCATTAAACTAGAGATACCCAATTCCAGCAGCCATTCCTTATGTGTTTTAGCCTCCAGTCCCCTAATATCTTTGTTGTTCTTCTCTGTACTCTTTCTAGAGTCTCAACATCTTTTTTACATCGTGGTGACCAAAACTGGATGCAGTATTCCAAGTGTGGCCTTACCAAGGCATTGTAAAGTGGTATTAACACTTCACGTGATCTTGATTCTAGCACTGTGTTAGCTTTTTTGGCAGCTGCAGAATACTGCTGGCTCATATTTAAGTGATTGTCCACTAGGACTCCGAGTTCCCTCTCACAGTTACTACTATTGAGCAAGGTACCCCCTATACTATATCTGTACATTGGCCATAAATGAAAGGAAAATAGCAGTAATATTTCAGATTCTGCAGGTATCTGAGGAGCCTCTTCAGAAAGTCGATAAAATCTTGGAATAATATTCAGTTTTCTGCAAAATGATTCTACAGCACTTCATCTGATGAAAATGGATAATTTAACTAAATTTCCTTCAGAATGAAGGTATAATTTATATATTAATATCCCCTCACCAGCCAACCTTTCTGCAATAAAAATATTACTCTCAATTCAGAATCAAAGCATTAACGTAGAAGCCCCAAAGCTTATAAACAATCCACACATTATTGCTTTAAGATAGAAAGGAAGCCTCTCCTTTTACCTGCATGTCACAATCCTTACCTCTTTCAAACAGCTTGCTTGGAAAATCAGTTTTACTTTGATGTAATGTGCTTTTAAATGAACAAAGGTTCCATTCTCCTCCCTCAGAGGGTGGAGTGAGAACAAACTCAATTCAAATAAATTATGACCTTGAATTAACCATCCTTTTAGCTAATACCAACTGATGCTCATTTTTAACTGAAGAACAAACAGTTTAAGAAATGAGAATTAAGTCTGCTCTAACTGTTTTCATGGTGCCTGTGTTTAATCATCCTTAGGTGACTCTTTGTTTTGTATTCTCCTGAAGCTGATATTCCACTTGGTTCAGCAGGAGCAGCTTCATCTGAGTCTGAGTCCTGGGCCATGATACCTTTTGGAGTCTATGATCTGATCCAATCTAATCCAATGCAGGGAGGGCATGTTGTGGCTTCCATCCACAAAGGAATATCATCTGATGGGACCCAGGAGAAGAGTACCGTATATACTCGAGTATAAGCCGAGTTTTTCAGCCCATTTTTTGAGCTGAAAAATGCCCCCCTAGGCTTATACTCGGGTCAATATTTTTCCCCAGTTCTTTGTGGACTTACAATATCCGAGCACCGTTTAAAGAGACGCCGAAGGAAGACGGTGCCCAACTACGCGCCTTTCCCCCTTGGGGTGGTCTTTTGCAAAGTCTTTTGCTCGGATATTGTAAGTCCACAGCAGCGCAGGTGGCAGCAGCAGTGGCGCCGTCTCCCGCTCCGAATCCCAGGCTGGAGTCAAGCCCTTTTCAAAAGCGCCGGCTCGGGAGCGAAAGCAAAAGGGGCGGGGGAGTGGGGCTTCGTTCACGCGTGGATCCCCTACGCTCGTATTTATTTACCGTATTATGCCACGGCTGGCGGCGGCAGAAGAAGAAACAGCAGCCTCCTTCCTCGGTTAGCTCCGATTCCCTCCCCCCGTGTCACCTCTGAGCTGCAGGACTCCGCCGCTTGCTTTATAAACCCTTGGCCGCTGCTCCATCCACACACGCTCGCGCAGGGAAAGGGGGAAACGGGTGGGCCGGCCGGCTCCCCTCTCCTCTTTGTGTGTGTGTGTGTGTCTCTCTCTC